CGGTTTGTGGGCCAATGTAATGCGCCAGGCAGGCAGGAGGAAAACCGTATGAATAACATGAATGAGCAACATCCCTTCTCTTCCCATCCATCCCCTCCAAACTTCTCTCAGAAAAAGATAGAGAGACAGGCAGAGAAAAAGAGAAAGTAGAAAAAAGAAGAGAGAGAGAGAGACTGAAAAAAGGCGGCGGTAGAGAGATACATGTAGAGAGGGGGGAAGAGAGAGGCAGACTCGAAGGAATGTAAAGCAACAGAGCAAGAGAGAGAGAGAGAGAGAGAGAGAGAGAGAGAGAGAGAGAGAGAGAGAGAGGATAGAGGGAAGGAAGGCTCTGTTCATCCGTGGCGTCACACTTGACTAGGCCCCTGAGAAACCCCCAGTAGAACCTTCAGCTGCCAGCTAGCTGTCTGTTGCCATGAGGATGAAGTCATCTCCAGAGGCCTGCATGCTAATGTAATCAATCACCTCCCTGTGTGACACGTATCATCTCAGGTGGCGCGCCTGGCTGCCTCTCTTTCAGCCCCATAGCCTCACAGCCCCAGCCTGGCTGACTCTCTCATTGCCTCAGCCTCTCTCAGTCCCAGCTTCAGCCCCAGACTCACAGCCTCAGCCTCTCTGTTAGCCCAAGCCCAAGGACAGCAGAGGAGAGGATGTGCTAATCCTCAGATTGTATGTAACCCATGGAGATGTCTGACTGGTTGTTAACAATCAGTAACAATCATTAGAAAGATACATGGCTAGTTTTGCATTACAGAACTATAACAGCAATCATTTCATTCAATGAATTTTTTTAAATGCATAAAATGTACGCATTACATATGCAACAACATGTTGTTCTATTTTATATGTAGGCACTATAGACGAGCCTACTATGAATTCTCTCACAGTCGTCATTCTCTGTTCCTGCCAGCAGGTGTCATTAAAACCCCACTGTGCTAATCAGGCTTTACCAACAGGAGAGAATACACTGTGTGGCTGGCTCACCTAACAGACTAACAGTGGAGATAAATAATCAGCAGACTACGTCTGCCTCCCAAATGGCACCCTATTCCCTATTTAGTGCACTACTTTTGACCAGGGCCCATAACGCTCTGGTCAAAAGTAGTGCACAATATAGGGAATAGGGTGCCATTTGGGACAAACCCAGAGTATTTACATGGCATAATAGCTACAGACTGTGTGAAACTACAGATAATATTCAATCATATATTGTGGAGAATGTTGATACTAAAGGATTACACAATAGTAGTTGTTTAGGTAGTATTCATAGGTTGGCTCATAGTAACTCCACTAACATTGACATTGTCCTGGGGACTGTGGAACAAGTGTCAGACAGACATCCCTGTGATGGCATGGCAGGATAGCATCAGGGCTGAGGTTCTCTGACTATGGAGAATATAATACCACTACTTATGTGTTAAAGAATGGAGTGAGTCTGTGTCTCTCTCTCTCCAAATAATCAATTAGCACCCAGCTCCTTCATAGATTTGATTACATGCTCTTCATTATTTACCTAATGGTCTAATTGCATTATAGTTGTGAATGAGAGACATTAACATGAGAGGCATGCAGGAGAAGGTTGCAGTGCACTGGTTAGTGGATTTCATTAGGTTATTCTATGTGAGAGTAGAGCGAAGACGAGAGAGCGAAGTGTTTCACTAAACTTTTGATGTGCTAGCTGGCACTGTTAATATTTCAGAATGTGCTCTGTAACTCTCCGCATTCTTCTCTCTCTACAATTAAGAATTGGATCAGAGCATACAGGTATGCTGCATGCTGATTGATCCTCAAAAGCAGGTTAGGCCATCTCCTCTGATGTGTAGGTATTCAAAACTGGTCATATAACCTTAATCCTCAGTCTGTCTTGCTATGTGACATTGGAGGAAACCTATCCTTGTACGTTGTGTACTAATGCCGTACTACCATATGCAAGATGACAACAATTATTAATCTGTTCATAAATCACTTAATCAATACTGTACCTGTAAGTATAGAACTGACCTTTGAATATGTGTTGACATACGAATTCATATTGACACCATCATTATGAACCGGAATGAATAGTTTGGGAATACATGAACTTTGGAGTCCACCTAGGGCTGGCACAATTACCGTATAATCGCGTAACAGACAGACGGTTATGGATGAAGAATGCCATGAAAATAAAATAAACGTCACAACTGTTAAAAAATATATATACTGAGTGTACAAAACATTAGGAACACCTTCCTAATATTGAGTTGCACCCCCCCGCTTTCGCCCTCAGAACTGCCTCAATTGGTTGGGGAATGGACTCTACAAGGTGTCGAAAGCGTTATACAGGTATTCTGGCCTATGTTGACTCCAATGCTTTCCACAGTTGTGTCAAGTTCGCTGGATGTGCTTTGGTGAAAAACCAGGCAGCGTTGCAGCCTCCATCATTCTTAAATGGAAGAAGTTTGGAATCACCAAGACTCTTCCTAGAGCTGGCCGCCCGGCCAAACTGAGCAATCGGGGGAGAAGGGCCTTGGTCAGGGAGGTGACCAAGAACCTGATGGTCACTGACAGAGCTCTAGAGTTCCTCTGTGGAGATGGGAGAACCTTCCAGAAGGACAACCATCTCTGCAGCACTCCACCAATCAGGCCTTTATGGTAGAGTGGCCAGACGGAAGCCACTCCTCAGTAAAAGGCACATGACAGCCCGCTTGGAGTTTCTCTGGTCAAATGAAACCAAGATTGAAATCTTTGGCCTGAATGCCAAGCGTCACGTCTGGAGGAAACCAGGCACCGCTCATCACCTGGCCAATACCATCCACTAAGATGAAGCATGGTGGTGACAGCATCATGCAGTGGGGAAGTTTTTCAGCGGCAGGGACTGGGAGACTAGTCAGGATCGAGGGAAAGATGAACGGATCAAAGTGCAGAGAGATCCTTGATGAAAACCTGCTCCAGAGTGCTCAGGATCTCAGACTGGGGTGAAGGTTCACCTTCCAACAGGACAACTAAGACCACAGCCAATACAACGCAGGAGAGGCTTCGGGAGTCTCTGAATGTCCTTGAGTGGCCTAGCCAGAGCCCGGACTTGAACCCGATCTAACATCTCTGGAGAGATCTAATGACTGGGAATACAGACATGCATCTGTTGGTTACAGATACCTTTAAAAAAAGGTTGGGTTGTGGATCAGAAAATCAGTCAGTATCTGGTGTGACCACCATTGGCGCAACACATCTCCTTCGCATAGAGTTGAGCAGGCTGTTGATTGTGGCCTGTGGAATGTTGTCCCACTCCTATTCAATGGCTATGCGCAGTTGCTGGATATTGTTGGGAACTTGAACACGCTGTATTAGACGTCGATCCAGATCATTCCAAACATGCTCAAGGGGTGACATGTCTGGTGAGTATGCAGGTCGTGGAACAACTGGCACATTTTCAGTTTACAGGAATTGTGTACGGATCCTTGCGACATGGGGCTGTGCAATACCATGCTGAAACATGAGGTGATGGCGGTGGATGAATGGCACGACAATGGGCCTCCGGATCTCGTCACGGTATCTCTGTGCATTCAAATTGCCATTGATAAGAACCGCTCAGCAAACCGCTCTTCCACACGATGCCATACACGTGGTCTGCAGTTATGAGGCCAGTTGGACATACAGACAAATTCTCAAACATTATGTTGGAGGCGGCTTATGGTAGAGAAATGAACATAACATTCTCTGGCAACAGTTCTGGTGGACATTATTGCAGTCAGCATGCCAATTGCACGCTCCTTCAAAACTTGAGACATACAGTGCCTTGCAAAAGTATTCATCCCCCTTGGTGTTTTTCCAATTTTGTTGCATTACAACCAGGAATTTAAATTGATTTTTATTTGGATTTCATGTAATGGACATACACAAAATAGTCCAAATTGGTGAAGTGAAATGAAAAAAGAAACTTGTTTCAAAAAAGTATACAAAATAAATAACGGAAAAGTGGTGCGTGCATATGTATTCACCCCCTTTGCTATGAAGCCCCTAAATAAGATCTGGTGCAAACAGTTACCTTCAGAAGTCACATAATTAGTTAAATAAAGTCCACTTGTGTGCAATCTAAGTGTCACATGATCTCAGTATATATACACCTGTTCTGAAAGGCCCCAGAGTCTGCAACACCACTAAGCAAAGGGCACCACCAAGCAAGCGGCACCATGAAGACCAAGGAGCTCTCCAAACAGGTCAGGGACAAAGTTGTGGAGAAGTACAGATCAGGGATGGGTTATAAAAAAATATCCGATACTTTGAACATCCCACGGAGCACCATTAAATCCATCATAAAAAAATTGAAAGAATATGGCACCACAACAAACCTGCCAAGAGAGGGCCGCCCACCAAAACTCACGGACCAGGCAAGGAGGGCATTAAGCATTAATCAGAGAGGCAACAAAGCTCCACAGCGGAGATTGGAGTATCTGTCCATAGGACCACTTTAAGCCATACACCCCACAGCGCTGGGCTTTACGGAAGAGTGGCCAGAAAAAAGCCATTGCTTAAAGAAAAAAATAAGCAAACGTTTGGTGTTCGCCAAAAGACATGTAGGAGACTCCCCAAACATATGGAAGACGGTACTCTGGTCAGATGAGACTAAAATTGAGCTTTTTGGCCATCAAAGAAAACGCTATGTCTGGCGCAAACCCAACACCTCTCATCATCCCGAGAACACCATCCCCACAGTGAAGCATGGTGGTGGTGGTGGTGGTGGTGGTGGTGTAACTCTTGTGTTGTTGTTTTTATTGCACTGCTTTGCTTTATCTTGGCCAGGTCGCAGTTGTAAATGAGAACTTGTTCTCAACTGGCTTACCTGGTTAAATAAAGGCGAAATAAAATTTTAAAAAATGCTGTGGAAATCTTTTTCATCGGCAGGGACTGTGAAACTGGTCAGAATTGAAGGAATGATGGATGGCTCTAAATACAGGGAAATTCTTGAGGGAAACCTGTTTCAGTCTTCCAGAGATTTGAGACTGGGACGGAGGTTCACCTTCCAGCAGGACAATGACCCTAAGCATACTGCTAAAGCAACACTCGAGTGGTTTAAGGGGAAACATTTACATGTCTTGGAATGGCCTAGTCAAAGCCCAGACCTCAATCCAATTGAGAATCTGTGGTATGACTTAAAGATTGCTGTACAGCAGCGGAACCCATCCAAATTGAAGGAGCTGGAGCAGTTTTGCCTTGAAGAATGGGCAAAAATCCCAGTGGCTCGATGTGCCAAGCTTATAGCTGTAATTGCTGCAAAAGGTGGCTCTACAAAGTATTGACTTTGGGGGGGTGAATAGTTACGCATGCTCAAGTTTTCTGTTTTTTTGTCTTATTTCTTGTTTGTTTCACAATAACAAATATTTTGCATCTTCAAAGTGGTAGGCATGTTGTGTAAATCAAATGATACAACCCCCCCAAAACAATCCATTTTAATTCCAGATTGTAAGGCAACAAAATAGGAAAAATGCCAAGGGGGGTGAATACTTTCGCAAGCCACTGTACGTGGCATTGTGTTGTGTGACAAAACTGTACATTTTGTGGCCTTTTATTGTAACCAACACAAGATGCACCTGTGTAATGATCATGCTATTTAATCAGCTTCTTGATATGCCACACCTGTCAAGTGGATGGATTATCTTGGCAAAGGAGAAATGCTCACTAACAGGGACGTAAACTAATTTGTGAACAACATTTGAGAGAAATACGCTTTTTGTGCGTATGGAAAATTTCGGAGATATTTTATTTCAGCTCATGAAACATGGGACCAACACTTTACATGTTGCATATATATTATATATATATTATATACAGTATATAGTACCAGTCAAAGGTTTGGACACACCTACTCATTCCAGGGTTTTTATTTATTTTTACTATTTTCTACATTGTAGAATAATAGTGAAGACATCAAAACTATGAAATAACACATATGGAATCATGTAGTAACCAAAAAAAGTGTTAAACAAATCAAAATATATTTTAGATTTTAGATTCTTCAAAGTAGCCACCCTTTGCCTTGATGACAGATTTGCACACTCTTGGCATTCTCTCAACCAGCTTCATGAGGTAGTCACCTGGAATGCTTTCAATTAACAGGTGTGCCTTCTTAAATTTACATTTAAGTCATTTAGCAGACGCTCTTATCCAGAGCGACTTACAAATTGGTGCATTCAACTTAGGATAGCCAGTGGGACAACCACCCCTTTTTTTCATCTTTTTTTTAATGGGGGGGAGAGTAGAAGGATTACTGTTATACTATTCCAGGTATTGCTTAAAGAGGTAGGGTTTCAAGTGTCTCTGGAAGGTGGTCAGTGACTCCGCTGTCCTGGCGTCGTGGGGGAGCTTGTTCCACCATTCTTAAAAGTTAATTTGTGGAATTTCTTTCCTTCTTAATGCATTTGAGCCAATCAGTTGTGTTGTGACAAGGTAGGGGGGTATACAGAAGATAGCCCTATTTGGTAAAAGACCAAGTCCATATTATACTGTCGATTTTGCAGGTTTTCCTACTTACAAAGCATGTAGAGGTCTGTAATTTTTATCATGGGTACACTTCAACTGTGAGAGGCGGAATCTAAAACAAAAATCCAGAAAATCACATTGTATGATTTTTAAGTAATTCATTTGCATTTTATTGCATGACATAAATATTTGATACATCAGAAAAGCAGAACTTAATATTTGGTACAGAAACCTTTGTTTGCAATTACAGAGATCATACGTTTCCTGTAGGTCTTGACCAGGTTTGCACACACTGCAGCAGGGATTTTGGCCCACTCCTCCATACAGACCTTCTCCAGATCCTTCAGGTTTCGGGGCTGTCACTGGGCAATACGGACTTTCAGCTCCCTCCAAATATTTTCTATTGGGTTCAGGTCTGGAGACTGGCTAGGCCACTCCAGGACCTTGAGATGCTTCTTACGGAGCCACTCCTTAGTTGCCCTGGCTGTGTGTTTCGGGTCGTTGTCATGCTGGAAGACCCAGTCACGACCCATCTTCAATGCTCTTACTGAGGGAAGGAGGTTGTTGGCCAAGATCTCGCGATACATGGCCCCATCCATCCTCCCCTCAATACGGTGCAGTCGTCCTGTCCCCTTTGCAGAAAAGCATCCCCAAAGAATGATGTTTCCACCTCCATGCTTCACGGTTGGGATGGTGTTCTTGGGGTTGTACTCATCCTTCTTCTTCCTCCAAACACGGCGAGTGGAGTTTAGACCAAAAAGCTCTATTTTTGTCTCATCAGACCACATGACCTTCTCCCATTCCTCCTCTGCATCATCCAGATGGTCATTGGCAAACTTCAGACGGGCCTGGACATGCGCTGGCTTGAGCAGGGGGACCTTGCGTGCGCTGCAGGATTTTAATCCATGACGGCGTAGTGTGTTACTAATGGTTTTCTTTGAGACTGTGGTCCCAGCTCTCTTCAGGTCATTGAGCAGGTCCTGCCGTGTAGTTCTGGGCTGATCCCTCACCTTCCTCATGATCATTGATGCCCCACGAGGTGAGATCTTGCATGGAGCCCCAGACCGAGGGTGATTGACCATCATCTTGAACTTCTTCCATTTTCTAATAATTGCGCCAACAATTGTTGCCTTCTCACCAAGCTGCTTGCCTATTGTCCTGTAGCCCATCCCAGCCTTGTGCAGGTCTACAATTTTAACAGGTCTGTGAGAGCCGGAATTCTTACTGGTTGGTAGGTGATCAAATACTTATGTCATGCAATAAAATGCAAATGAATTACTTAAAAATCATACAATGTGATTTTCTGGATTTTTGTTTTAGATTCCGTCTCTCACAGTTGAAGTGTACCTATGATAAAAATTACAGATCTCTACATGCTTTGTAAGTAGGAAAACCTGCAAAATCGGCTGTGTATCAAATACTTGTTCTCCCCACTGTATGTGGGAACTCCTTCAAGACTGTTGGAAAAGCATTCCAAGTGAAGCTGGTTGAGAGAATGCCAAGAGTGTGCAAAGCTGTCATCAAGGCAAAGGGTAGCTATTTGAAAATATATTTTGATTTGTTTAACACTTTTTGGGTTACTACATGATTCCATATGTGTTATTTCATAGTTTTGATGTCTTCACTATTATTCTACAATGTAGAAAAAAGTAAAAATAAAGAAAAACCCTTGAATGAGTAGGTGTTCTAAAACATTTGACCGGTAGAGTATATATATATATATATTTGTTTTGTGTGGAATGAACAGCTGACTGAAGACCGGATGGCCGGGGGCATTCAAGCTTTTGAGTCTGTTTTGTCCATAACATGGACTCTTAACATGATGAAACTTTGTTTCTCCTTGCTGAAACAAGCAAATGAGTCTTTGGTTTCCTAGGCAACACCCCACACAAAGCAGCAGCAGCAGCACACATATAAATAGAATGAATAGAACGGGTTTGGAACCTCTAACCCAGGGTTCTTCAATTCCGGTCCTGGAGGGCCGAAACACCTCTGTTTTTCATCCTCTCCTTCTAATCAGGGGCTAATTCAGACCTGGGCACCAGGTGAGTGCAATTAACTACCAGGTAGAAATAAAAAACAGAAGTGTTTCGGCCCTCCAGGACCGGAATTGAAGAACCCTGCTCTAACCCAAGCAATTTGACTTGTAAACTCATGATCTTTGGGACATCCCTACCCTAACCTCTACCCTTTCATAACCATTTTAAAATGTCAACTTCAATGGGGTAGGGACGTCGCAAGGATTCCGGATAGCACAGACCTTAAACTCATGGGTACACTCGCAATGGCTGCCCGCCTGGTATTGTGATGTGTGTTCATTCAAATGATTTTAACTAATGTGGCTCATGCAATGTAATGTCTTTTTTTGTAATGCCAGTTGAGTTGAATCAACAAATCACAGCACATATTTTTGCACATATTTTCCTTCCTGCTTTGCCCCTTGGGTGCACTCGCAATGGCCGCCAGTCCACTAGAGATGTGCACGGTTATTCGAATATCTGAACGGACGTTAATATTTTTGCATCTCTTTAGATTTATCCAAAGCGTTTGACACGGTTGATCATTAAATATTAATTTCTAAATTGCATTAATACGGTTTTCATGATTATACATATAATTGGTTATATAGTTATGTTTATGATAGTGAACAATTTGTTTACGCAAACGGCTGTGCATCTACCAGGGCCATGATATCCTGTGGTGTACCACAGGGTTCGATAATTGGACCTTTGTTATTCCTACTCTATTTCAATGACCTTGCTGCTGTGCCTTCTACAGTACTTCCCATTCTCTTTGCTGATGACAACAATTTGATTTTATCACACAAGAATTTGGGTTCACTAATTCATTAAGCCAACTCAGGTATGGCCAAATTTTATGAATGGTTCCAGATAATTTGTTTATCTTTAAATGTTATAAAATCCAACTTTCTTGTATTCACTAGTAAGAATAAGAAATATTATTGAAAAGAAAGAGCCAGAATCTCAATTGGTGGGAATTAAATGGAACAAGTCACGTCCACTAGATTCCAAGGAGTTCTAATTGATGAAAAGTTATCCTGAAAAGATCATATTCAATTTGTCTGTAGCAAAGTGATGAAATATGTTGGTATCATCAGAAAGACTAGTGGTTTGGCTTCCTAACGCTATACTATAGCTTCATTTACCCATATCTCATTTACTGTAATATTGTTGGGCCAGTACATATGCCTCCTACCTACACAAATTACTCATCATACAAAATAAATTTGACTAGCCACCTCCTCTAATTATCTGGCTCCATCTACACCTTTGTTTAAGAAACTCAATATCTTGTCTATTTACGACAATAATGTACGCCAATTATGCACTTTCATCTACAAATACTCATGCCTCCAAGACAGTTTCCCTAAACCCTTCAATGGATTCTTCCAGGTTCATTCTGAAATCCATCTACAGTGGCTTGCGAAAGTATTCACCCCCCTTGGCATTTTTCCTATTTTGTTGCCTTACAACATGGAATTAAAATTGATTGGGGGTGGGGGGTTGTATCATTTGATTTACACAACATGCCTAACACTTTGAAGATGCAAAATATATAAACAAACAAGAAATAAGACAAAAAAACAGACAACTTGAGCGTGCATAACTATTCACCCACCTTTTGCAGCAATTACAGCTGTAAGTCTCTTGGGGAATGTCTCTATAAGCTTGGCACATCTAGCCACTGGGATTTTTGCCCATTCTTCAAGGCAAAACTGCTCCAGCTCCTTCAAGTTGGATGGGTTCCGCTGGTGTACAGCAATCTTTAAGTCATACCACAGATTCTCAATTGGATTGAGGTCTGGGCTTTGACTAGGCCATTCCAAGACATTTAAATGTTTTCCCTTAAACCACTCAAGTGTTACTTTAGCAGTATGCTTAGGGTCATGGTCCTGCTGGAAGGTGAACCTCCGTCCCAGTCTCAAATCTCTGGAAGACTGAAACAGGTTTCCCTCAAGAATTTCCCTGTATTTACAGCCATCCATCATTCCTTCAATTCTGACCAGTTTCCCAGTCCCTGCCGATGAAAAACATCCCCACAGCATGATGCTGCCACCACCATGCTTCACTATGGGGATGGTGTTCTCGAGGTGATGAGAGGTGTTGGGTTTGCGCCAGACATAGCGTTTTCCTTGATGGACAAAATGCTCAATTTTTGTCTCATCTGACCAGAGTACCTTCTTCCATATGTTTGGGGAGTCTACCACATGCCTTTTGGCGAACACCAAACGTGTTTGCTTATTTCTTTCTTTAAGCAATGGCTTTTTTTCTGGCCACTCTTCCATAAAGCCCAGCTCTGTGGCGTGTACGGCTTAAAGTGGTCCTATGGACAGATACTCCAATCTCCACTGTGGAGCTTTGCAGCTCCTTCAGGGTTATCTTTGGTCTCTTTGTTGTCTCTCTGATTAATGCCCTCCTTGCCTGGTCCGTGAGTTTTGGTGGGCAGCCCTCTCTTGGCAGGTTTGTTGTGGTGCCATATTCTTTCAATTTTTTATTAATGGATTTAATGGCGCTCCCTGGGATGTTCAAAGTGTCCGATATTTATAACCCAACCCTGATCTGTGCTTCTCCACAACTTTGTCACTGACCTGTTTGTAGAGCTCCTTGGTCTTCATGGTGCCACTTGCTTGGTGGTGCCCCTTGCTTAGTGGTGTTGCAGACTCTGGGGCCTTTCAGAACAGGTGTATATAAACTGAGATCATGTGACACTTAGATTGCACACAGGTGGACTTTATTTAACTAATTATGTGACTTCTGAAGGTAATTGGTTGCACCAGATCTTATTTAGGGGCTTCATAGCAAAGGAGGTGAATACATATTTATTATTTAGAATTTATTGGACTATTTTGTGTATGTCCATTACATGAAATCCAAATAAAAATCCATTTAAATTTCAGGTTGTAATGCAACAAAATAGGAAAATGCCAAGGGGGATGAATAATTTTGCAAGGCACTATATATAACACAAGATTCTGCGCAAACCTTCATCCTCCTCACTGCCACACCTCACATTGTCAATTCTCTATCAGATACAGAGGTACCATACTCTGGAATTCTTATCTTCACATTGACAAAACCTAATCATCCCTCAATAACTTCACACGAAGTCTGATGAACCAAACTACCCAATAATCCCCTCCATGTAGCCTAACTCTCACACTCACACGCACATAATCAAACATGTTTTTTCTTGTATACTGAGTATATCATGTACAATTATAATTAATATATTTTTTTGTACTTATATTTGTGGTGTGGTTTTCATTGAAGCCCTTTTGGGCTTCCAACCTCAACTGCACACCGTTTTAACCAGTTTTTGTTTTTATCTGTACTGTTTTGTCTTTCACTTCTTTTCTTTGGTGCGAAAAAATAAAACCTAAAACTAAAATATCCATTTGACATTGTTACATACAAGGATAGCAAGGATTTCAAATTATAAATGTAATAAAACAAAAAAAATGTCTATGTAGTTGTGCCCATAAAATGCGCCTCATAAAAAAGACTGGTAGCCTTCACGTCTGTAGCTTGTTGTTTATGTTGGCCAATCAAAGCAGCAAAGAGGCTCAATATGTAGTGAGAGTTGATTAATGGAATGCAAGATGGAATAACATTAGGCTATAATGAGCAACTAACAGGTAGGCTGTTGTTTTATCTGAATTGGGTTGGGGAGAAAACGTAAAATGTGGCCTCAATTAGCCTAGCTGGCTAGCTACAGTGGGGAAAAAAAGTATTTAGTCAGCCACCAATTGTGCAAGTTCTCCCACTTAAAAAGATGAGAGAGGCCTGTAATTTTCATCATAGGTACATGTCAACTATGACAGACAAAATTAGATTTTTTTTCTCCAGAAAATCACATTGTAGGATTCTTAATGAATTTATTTGCAAATTATGGTGGAAAATAAGTATTTGGTCAATAACAAAAGTTTCTCAATACTTTGTTATATACCCTTTGTTGGCAATGACACTGGTCAAACGTTTTCTGTAAGTCTTCACAAGGTTTTCACACACTGTTGCTGGTATTTTGGCCCATTCCTCCATGCAGATCTCCTCTAGAGCAGTGATGTTTTGGGGCTGTCGCTGGGCAACACGGACTTTCAACTCCCTCCAAAGATTTTCTATAAGGTTGAGATCTGGAGACTGGCTAGGCCACTCCAGGACCTTGAAATGCTTCTTACGAAGCCACTCCTTCGTTGCCCGGGCGGTGTGTTTGGAATCATTGTCATGCTGAAAGACCCAGCCACGTTTCATCTTCAATGCCCTTGCTGATGGAAGGAGGTTTTCACTCAAAATCTCACGATACATGGCCCCATTCATTCTTTCCTTTACACGGATCAGTCGTCCTGGTCCCTTTGCAGAAAAACAGCCCCAAAGCATGATGTTTCCACCCCCATGCTTCACAGTAGGTATGGTGTTCTTTGGATGCAACTCAGCATTCTTTGTCCTCCAAACACGACGAGTTGAGTTTTTACCAAAAAGTTATATTTTGGTTTCATCTGACCATATGACATTCTCCCAATCCTCTTCTGGATCATCCAAATGCACTCTAGCAAACTTCAGACGGGCCTGGACATGTACTGGCTTAAGCAGGGGGACACGTCTCGCACTGCAGGATTTGAGTCCCTGGCGGCGTAGTGTGTTACTGATGGTAGGCTTTGTTACTTTGGTCCCAGCTCTCTGCAGGTCATTCACTAGGTCCCCCCGTGTGGTTCTGGGATTTTTGCTCACCGTTCTTGTGATCATTTTGACCCCACGGGGTGAGATCTTGCGTGGAGCCCCAGATCGAGGGAGATTATCAGTGGTCTTGTATGTCTTCCATTTCCTAATAATTGCTCCCACAGTTGATTTCTTCAAACCAAGCTGCTTACCTATTGCAGATTCAGTCTTCCCAGCCTGGTGCAGGTCTACAATTTTGTTTCTGGTGTCCTTTGACAGCTCTTTGGTCTTGGCCATAGTGGAGTTTGGAGTGTGACTGTTTGAGGTTGTGGACAGGTGTCTTTTATACTGATAACAAGTTCAAACAGGTGCCATTAATACAGGTAACGAGTGGAGGACAGAGGAGCCTCTTAAAGAAGAAGTTACAGGTCTGTGAGAGCCAGAAATCTTGCTTGTTTGTAGGTGACCAAAGACTTATTTTCCACCATAATTTGCAAATAAATTCATAAAAAATCCTACAATGTGATTTTCTGGAGAAAAAAAATCTCAATTTGTCTGTCATAGTTGACGTGTACCTATGATGAAAATTACAGGCCTCTCTCATCTTTTTAAGTGGGAGAACTTGCACAATTGGTGGCTGACTAAATACTTTTTTTCCCCACTGTAGCTTCTCTAGGCTACTCGAGTCAAGACAGGAACTGTTATTTGGGATGATAAATAACATTGTGGCTGCTACTTGTAAGTTAGCTAGTATTGGTTATAGCCGAGTATATTCTCGCTCTCTGCCTCTGTCTGCTCGCGCCAATCTCACTGGCACCTCCGCAATTGCAGCAATAGAGCGCCAGCCTCTCCCTCGCACAGCAGTGCACAGGTTAAAAACGTACGTTTAAACAACATGCATTTAGAATATCTGGATATCAGACAAAAATGAATGATACTATGTGAATAGTGAAATTATTTTCAACCCCCCATCCCTCCAGTCCACCCATTATGCCATCATTGACTTGAATGGAGACGCCCCTTCTATTAATTCTATTTCAATTCTAGCCCATGCAGTCAGGAGCTATTCAAACGGTTATTACGGTGATCGTGGTCATTTAGCTGGCCAATTACCATCATCCAACATTCCATGACCGTCACAGCCCTAAGTCCATCTACTGTAAATTTTAGGTCCTAGAATAGCCAATGCTTGAAACAACAACAACATCATAGTAAAACTGTATGTGCCAGAAGCTGAGGCTCTAATTACCTCTATCTTGCCCCATATGTCTGGGTGGTTGTCGTGGTGCTGGATGTCATCCAGTAGCTGTTGGATGAGGGGTTTACACTGTCTCTCTATGTGGGGGGCCATGGTAGTGGGAGTGGTGGTGGTAGGCTGCAGGGGGAGAGACCTGTTGGCGTCTCTCCTTCTGGATCCAGTGGAACTCCCTCTGGTCTCCCCGGAGCTCCAGCCCCTGTTGTTGTCTCTCATCCTACTCTCCCTGGAGCTCCAGGCCTCGTCCTCAGACAGCAGGTCACTGAGGGGGCCCGACTCGATGCTCTCATCCAGGGATGGAGCCATGTCGCTGGACGAGGTGGGCGAGAAGCGGCCCATCCCCACACGGAAAGGCCTCTTGTAGGGGTGTTGGAGGGCGTGGAAGCCCAGAGGGGGTTGGGGGCTGCCTGGGCCCTCGCCCTCCCAGTCTGAATTGACCTCGGTCAGCTCCCAATCGTCTACATCCTGAATGGACTCATGGTGTCCCTGGTGGCCAGGTCTCTGGGCCAGGGTCTCCAGCTTCATAGCCAGCATCTCTGTCTTCTTCAGCTGGGCGGGCAGAGCCAAGAACTCATCTGACCCGAACCAGTGCTCCTCGCTGGGGTTAGGGCTGGCCTCCGCTGAGGCTGTGGCTGGGTGGTGGAGGTGGGGGCACTGGGGCTGGATGATCCAGACGGCTTCCTTGGTGGGAGGGTGGAAGTCCTCGCTGGAGGCTTTGTTGTGGGACTCGTGGTCTGAGGGCTCCCTCATAGCAGAGGGTAGGGGGCTGTCTGTGTCTCTGTCTGTCTGTGGATCCTCCAGGGCCCTGCTACATCCCCTGTTGCCTGAGAAGAGGGTGGGGATGGAGGAGAGGTCCTGGGGGAAGTGGCCTCCCTGGCCTGCCTCTGAGGAGCTCCTCTGTAGGGGGATTTGAGCGCCAACAGGGCTTCTCGGTCTCTGGTACCCTCCAGCCTCTCTCTGTCTGCTGGCCTGCAGGTTCCTGCTGTTCATGGCCTGCAGGCTGTCATAGGACTGGGAGGCATTGCTGGGGTACACAGCGTTCAGCTCCAGCCAGAACTTGGAGCGGTCGGGAGGGTCCAGGAGAGAGGGAGTACTCCGGCTCAGGTCTCCCTGGAATTGAAGAGAGGGAGGCAGGGTGGATCTCCTCAGGCTGAGGCTGGACTCAGTCTCTCCCTCCAGGTACATGGGCTTCTTAGGCAAGGCAGGCTGGGTGGGGGACACCTCGTTACTCACGCTGCCCTGGAGGGGCCGCTTGGAGAGTGGAGTGCTCTCGCTCTGGGGCGTGCCGCAGTGCATTTTGGGTCCAGGTGCAGGGTTGTTCTCCTCCCCTGTGCTGGAGGTCGTGTCTCTGTGTTTCTCTATAGGGGTGCCTGGCCCCTCCTCTTCCTGCTCTGGGATGGCCCCCTGGCTCTGGCTCTGCTTGGCTGCGATGGTCAGCAGGTCCACACTCTGGATGAGCTCTGGGAAGTCTCTCTCTAGACTGGGGTAGCTACAGCAGGGCTCCTGCCCCTGGCCCGATCCGCTGGTACCCTCCTGGTCCTCACTGGGGCTGTAGTCGCTGAGCTCGTAGGCTGTGATGCCACAGTCCAGGGAGAAGTAGTCCTGACTGCACTTAATGGTCAGCTGGCCGCAGTCGTCCACCTCAGTCAGAGCATCCAGGCGAGCCTGGGGGAGATGGGGGGGGGGGGGAGAAACACTTGATTAACACACCGCTACTCACAATATTCAAGTTACAATGCTTTAAAGAGGCAATCTGCAGTTCAAACAACAACAAAGTGGACACCATGCCACTGTTTAGGTAAACAGGTGAGGGATGAGGCTGGAGAAATGTAAACACAAGTCAGCTATGGATACAATGACTGACCATCCATGAGATCAAAATTATAGTTTTAACTATATTTTTAAGCTGTACGGTGTTTGTTTACAATTGCATTGTTTATAAACAATGGAGTAAAACAAGCTTATATTTTGGGTTCTGATGGGGTACGACTGTTGAACTAAACTCATGAGGGATTTAGAAGTTACATTCTTCAAGAATCAAAGGCTGTATATAATTAATTTAAGGTAAAAAATGTATGTATCAATCACATATTGCCCCTTAAATAAACCAAATAGGAGTTGTGTTTTCCAACATAAAAGAAAAGCAACTCCTAAGAGTCTGTGTTATGTTACAGTAAATCATATTCCACACTCATGGAGTCATCAGCTGTAGTAATTCCTGCATGTGCCACAAGGTGGTGTGTATTATTTATGTAACAGACAATGGAGCAGCTGTGTTGTGTAATGTGGAAATCTTTTCTCTCTCAAAATGTTTCTATTTTTACCTGGTGTTTTATGCACACAGTGTGTGGGGGTTAGTCTCCTAAACTGACATTTCCAAAAGATGATCCTATTGTAGAGGCCTGGATGTCCAGTGGACGGCTGAAGAGGCCAGCATGATCAATTGACAGGACATCCAGTGAACACACACACACATCCTTTCTTTGTTCTTTGTAATAATATCATTGAATAAGGCCTGCTCAGATGGTCAACCTTAGCTAAACTCGTTTTAAATGTGTACACTTTGTTTCCCTTCAGTTGAATTTCTCTACAGTTTGATACACATAAAAAAAGACTTCCATTTACTATAAAATACTATAGTACTTACTATAGAATTCTATAGAATTATGTAGTAAACTGTAGTATACTGTAGAATCCTATACTCCACACTGTAGTATCCCTCGATTTGTTTTTTTGTATTTATTATGGATCCCCATTAGTTCCTGCCAAGGCAGCAGCTACTCTTCCTGTGGTGCAGCAAAATTAAAGCAGTTATAAAAAATTTAAAACATTACAATACATTCACAACAGATTTCACAACACATTAACTGTGTGCCCTCAGGCCCCTACTCTACTACCACATATCTCCAACACAAAATCCATGTGTATGTGTGTGTATAGTGCGTATGTTATCGTGTGTGTGTATGCATGTCTCTGTGCCTATGTTTTATTGCTTGCATCAGTTACCTGATGTGGAATAGAGTTCCATGTAGTTATGGCTCTATGTAGTACTGTGCACCTCCCATAGTCTGCTATGGACTTTGTGACTGTGAAGTCACAATTGGTACCCTTACACAAGTACCAATTGGATGTGCCCTTTGATGTACACAGAGAGCTAACATGAATAATATGCATGTCAATCTCTCCTGGCTCAAAGTAGAGGAGAGATTGACTTCATCACTACTTGTATTTGTGAGAGGTATTGACATGTTGAATGCACTGAGCTGTCTGTTTGAACTAACTTCTTACTATAGAATTTTGTAGTATACTGTAGACACGACCCTTACACAAGTACCAAATATGAAGCTGCAAGTCTCGAGAAGCTAACCACAAACTTCCTGAAATGTTACTTACAGGAGACAAGGCAGCAGAGATGTAACATTTACCATACTAGGTAGCAAAACTAATCCTGTTATTGAAGTTCACGCCCGGTGCAAGAAACTCATGTTTATGACAGAAAGAACTTACATAATTGTGACAGTAAAGTAATGAATGTATACTTAATTAAATCAATGTAGAAAACATCTAGACGAAGGAAGTTTCACTTTGTACTAGTGTTTGCATCTGGGTGTGACTACTTGTACCCAGAGCACTCTGTATTAAAGCTATTACCTCTGACTCCAGTCTCCTTTATCTTTACAAAGTTAACTTGTATCTGAACATTTCAGTCTCACTGTGATGTGTAATGTGGCAATATTTTTCTTTCTCGCAATATTTTTCTGTGTGTTTACCTGGTGTTCTGTGTACACAGTGTGTGGGAGTTAGTCTCCCAAACTGAAATATACCAAAAGCTTAGCCTATCAAATTTTACAAAAGCCTGTTGCTCTCTTAGAAGCTTATCTTTGTTATTATGAGTTCAAAAACATCAAACACATCTCTGCTGTAAAGAGAAGTTATCACACGAACGGTCCATTTATAAAAAATAAAAAACGGTGAAGAGCTGAACTTCCTGCTCTTGACAACAACAAAACACTAATTACATTTACAGCTGATATTTTGGTCATTTAGCAGACGGCCAGACGCTAATAATATCTATTTCACAAGAAGCAGTGTATAAATACTGCTCTGATCACGATGTAGAGGACAGACAACAGATACCCCAGACAAAGACAAAACGCCTACATCTAAAAAGATGGAGATGTCTGACGATGTGTTCGCCAGTCCTGACACTACGAGGAGCCGTCGGGTGAATTATCCGCAGTCGGAGGAGACGTGTGATGATTTGTATGCTTGTTCAGACATCCTCACAGACCTGGGATCACCAGACTGTGGGCCAGAGAATCAGGGTTCAACTCCCTCTGAGTCCGGAGGGGTAAAGCAAGGTGTGAGGCGCAGCACCCTGGCTGTGGTGGGACAGGGTCTACTGAGTGTCCTCCTACTGACAACTCTCATCAGACTACGCTCCTACAACTACTACAAGGACATCAGCCAGAGAGAAAACCAGATGATACAGTCTGTGTCTCTCTTCAAGACCAACTACACTGATGAGAGAGTTACAGAGAGAGAGAGAAACCAGTTACAGGGAGAGAGAGACCAGTTACACAGAGAGAGACACCAGTTACATAGAGAGAGACCAGTTACACAGAGAGAGAGACCAGTTACACAGAGAGAGAGACCAGTTACACAGAGAGAGACCAGTTACACAGAGAGAGAGACCAGTTACATGGAGAGAGAGACCAGTTACACAGAGAGAGAGACCAGTTACAGAGAGAGAAAGACCAGTTACAGACAGAGAAAGACCAGTTACACAGAGAGATAGACCAGTTACTGAGAGAGAGACCAGTTACAGAGAGAGAGAGAGAGACCAGTTACAGAGAGAGAGAGACCAGTTACAGAGAGAGAGACCAGTTACAGAGAGAGAGAGACCAGTTACAGAGAGAGAGACCAGTTACAGAGAGAGAGACCAGTTACAGAGAGAGAGACCAGTTACAGAGGAGACAGTACAGAGAGAGGAGCCAGTTACAGAGAGAGAGGACCAGTTACAGAGAGAGACAGTAAGAGAGAGAGACCAGTTACAGAGAGAGAGAGACCAGTTACAGAGAGATAGAGACCAGTTACAGGAGAGAGAGACCAGTTACAGAGAGAGAGAGACCAGTTACAGAGAGAGAGACCAGTTACAGAGAGAGAGACCAGTTACAGAGAGAGAGAGACCAGTTACAGAGAGAGAGAGACCAGTTACAGAGAGAGAGAGACCAGTTACAGAGAGAGAGAGAGACCAGTTACAGAAGACCAGTTACAGAGAGAGAGACCAGTTACAGAGAGATAGAAAGGTTGGATATGATTGTTATAGGGTCCTGTCCACAAGGATGGAGAAGCTTTAACACTAGTTGTTATTGTGCCTCTTCTGAGAAGAAATCCTGGGCTGAGAGCAGACAGGACTGCAGAGAGAGGAGCAGACCTGGTGGTCGTTAATAATGAAGGGGAACAGAGATTTATCAATGGACGTGATGCAGCAGCATTTGTCTGGATTGGTCTGTCTGATTTAGAGACTGAGGGGATCTGGAAGTGGGTGGACGGCACACCACTGACCACAAGGTACAGGCAGAGTGACCAGCCTAATAACCAGGATGGAAACCAGGATTGTGTGATATTCAGAGGCCAACAACCAAACCAACTAATGGTATGGAATGACGTTGCATGTAATACAAATTGGCACTGGATCTGAGAAATAAGATTCACATACAGTATACGGTCTCTAAACTACTGTTTAAGTTGGGTTATAACAGCCTGGAGATGGATGTTATTTGGTAGAGTAATATTGTTGGTGTCAAGCCACTCAGAACTATACCTGGCAGAGTGGGACACAGCGTCGAGTGTAAAATTGCATAATACACAGTGAGGGAAAAAAGTATTTGATCCCCTGCTGATTTTGTATGTTTGCCCACTGACAAAGACATGATCAGTCTATAATTTTAATGGTAGGTTTATTTGAACAGTGCGAGACAGAATAACAACAAAAAAATCCAGAAAAACGCATGTCAAAAATTGTATAAATTGATTTGCATTTTAATGAGGGAAATAAGTATTGACCCCCCCTCAATCAGAAAGATTTCTGGCTCCCAGGTGTCTTTTATACAGGTAACGAGCTGAGATTAGGAGCACACTCTTAAAGGGAGTGCTCCTAATCTCAGCTTGTTACCTGTATAAAAGACACCTGTCCACAGAAGCAATCAATCAATCAGATTCCAAACTCTCCACCATGGCCAAGACCAAAGAGCTCTCCAAGGATGTCAGGGACAGATTGTAGACCTACACAAGGCTGGAATGGGCTACAAGACCATCGCCAAGCAGCTTGGTGAGAAGGTGACAACAGTTGGTGCGATTATTCGCAAATGGAAGAAACACAAACGAACTGTCAATCTCCCTCGGCCTGGGGCTCCATGCAAGATCTCACCTCGTGGAGTTGCAATGATCATGAGAACGGTGAGGAATCAGCCCAGAACTACACGGGAGGATCTTGTCAATGATCTCAAGGCAGCTGGGACCATAGTCACCAAGAAAACAATTGGTAACACACTATGCCGTGAAGGACTGAAATCCTGCAGCGCCCACAAGGTTTTTCTGCTAAGGGGACAGGACAACTTCACTGCATCAAAGGGACGATGGACGGGACCGTCAAAATCTTGGGTGAGAACTCCTTCCCTCAGCCAGGGCATTGAAAATGGGTCGTGGATGGGTATTCCAGCATGACAATGACCCAAAACCACCGCCAAGGCAACAAACTCAGCCAGGGCATTGAAAATGGGTCGTGGATGGGTATTCCAGCATGACAATGACCCAAAACACACCGCCAAGGCAACAAAGGAGTGGCTCAAGAAGAAGCACATTAAGGTCCTGGAGTGGCCTAGCCAGTCTCCAGACCCTTAATCCCATAGAAAAATCTGTGGAGGGAGTGAAGGTTGAGTTGGCAAACGTCAGCCTCAAACCTTAATGACTTGGAGAAGATCTGCAAAGATGAGTGGGACAAAATCCCTCCTGAGATGTGTGCAAAACCTGGTGGCCAACTACAAGAAACGTCTGACCTCTGTGATGCCAACAAGGGTTTTGCCACCAAGTACTAAGTCATGTTTTGCAGGGGGGTCAAATACTTATTTCCCTCACTAAAATGCAAATCAATTTATAACATTCTGTCTCTCACTGTTCAAATAAACCTACCATTAAAATTATAGACTGATCATTTCTTTGTCAGTGGGCAAACGTACAAAATCAGCAGGGGATCAAATACTTTTTTCCCTCACTGTACTATCAGTGTACTCTTATTTCCCAAAATAGAGTGAATATCATAATGTACAAATGCATCTTTTAATCAATTGTTTAATATGCTACTGTCATGTTGTACATGTGTTCTTTCTGCTGATGCCTATTTCATAAATCACAGAAACCTGAAAGGCTGTCATGTTTATTGTAGGATAGCTATAGTTGTGTACAGCACATGCCATGCCAGGGAGGCTGTGAATTATTAACCTGCTGTTGGTCCTGAGAGAAGGCCTGCAGTATGTCTGTCTGTCGGGTGTAGTTTCCGTTGGAGTCCTGGAGGCCCTGCAGCAGCCTCTCCTTCAGTACCAGGACAGAGACACGGAGCTGGTGCCACAGCAGCTGCACACTACGGATGTCCACAATGATGTTCACAGAGTAGGACAGCAGCTTCAAGGGAGAACTCTGTCTCCAGCAGCGCATGGATCTGCTCCACATGGTCCGAGATGTCCTCGCAAATGTCCTACACAAACACACACACACACGGGAGAGAAGGGACAAATATTTGTTTTTTTATGATAACACTTACACAAGCCTGGCATTGAAGAGATAATTATTGTATTTTTATATGCTTAACTACTCCGAAATAAACGTACACGTTATCTTGACGCTCTACAGACTGAAAACAGAGCAGACAGACATGATTGTGAGTCTCCCTTAGGGCTGTTGCGGTGACCGTATTACCGCCACACCGGCGGTCACGAGTCATGAAGGCAGTCAAATTCTATGTGACCGTTTAGTCACGGTAATTAGGCTTCTCCAAGCTCTGATGCTGCTGATGGTCATTAGTAGCCTACCAAACTTGCTAACTGGCTGGTACTCAGCACCCTATTGTCCCTCTAATCACTCTGACATCAATGCAAATGTGTTTGAAAATCTAATCAAACACTTCATGAGAGCCCATGAGCTCATGTTGCGCAACATTTCAATAGGCTATGCAATTGCGCGAGAAAACATTGTGACGGCCTCTAATAAAAAGGATCAGCTTTCTATAGGCTAGGCCTACTATATTTATTTCTCAACTTTCCTAATATTAAGCACATTGCTTATATTTACAACAGGAGTATAGCCTACCTGGCTGGCATGAAAATAAACCACAGGGAAAAGCGTCCTCCATTTGCATAGATGACATGTATTTTTTCCCGCTGCACCTGTTTCGATACAGGTGCATGATAATGGTCCATTCTAAATCAAAACAAAATTTCACACATATATTATTTTGTATAGATTAAATTAAGAATAGTCTGATGGGTGACAATATTAGCCTATCACTTGTGAATTATATATTATCACTTGAGACTTTTTCGAATCATAGTCGCACACCTCATGTAGCCTAGCCCATAGGCCTATATGTTTTAATAAGGTTTGTATCACAACTAAAGTGGCCAAATAACTTCTTAAAATAAAGCACATTAATCCGTTTTACATAAGCAGCGAGTGAGTTTCAAATTTGGGGAAGATCATTTTCACCATAAAAATGCACCTTTATAATAAAAGCCTTACATGCATAATTGCATTTGCGATCACTTTGATAATGGTGTTTTCCGCTAATGGAACATTCTCGCTTATAGCCTACTACCATGTGCGCATTGCGGCGCTTATATAATGTGAAGAAATAACCTAATAGTTTATCAACATTTTAAGCTAAATGTTCTGATCTGTTGCGTCAAAAAGTTTTTTTGATGCTAGTGGTTGTATTAATTTGTACAGCCATTTGGCATAGCCAGATCAGGACCTAACATAAGGACAACTCAGAGTATGCTATTCTGTTCTTCTGAAATAGACTACATTTTCTACATATCATGCTTCTTTAGACCTGTCTAAAATAAATAATGGATTTACTGTGGAGGTGTACGCTATATTACATGGATTTATTATTTACATTTACATTTACGTCATTTAGCAGACGCTCTTATCCAGAGCGACTTACATTATTATTATTTTTTTCATACCCCCTGTGGGAATCGAACCCACAACCCTGGCGTTGCAAACGCCATGCTCTATCAACTGAGCTACATCCCTGCCGGCCATTCCCTCCCCTACCCTGGACGACGCTGGGCCAATTGCGCGCCGCCCCATGGGTCTCCCATGGGTCTCCCGGTCACGGCCGGCTACGACAGAGCCTGGATTCGAACCAGGATCTCTAGTGGCACAGCTAGCACTGCGATGCAGTGCCTTAGACCACTGCGCCACTCAGGCGCAGTGGTCTACTTTTTTAAATGTAGATGTTCCAAAGGTCAGCATCAGTGGCTTGTAGGCTATGTGTGGAAGCCAGGAGATGCTAAATGTGTTTGTTAATTAACGGTCAATTACCGTGAGATCGACAGTTATTTGCTTGACAGTCACCGGCTGAAGAAATTGAGTGACAGCCACAGCCCTAGTCTCATTGCCAGTACATTAAAAGCAGAACCAAGTGGTGGCGATTAAGTCATAACAGCCATGTTAAAAATATGAGTCAGTCTCACATGGAGGCAGGGCCGTCCCGCAGTTTGACGAGGGAGGCATTTTCTGAGCTAAACTGACCAAGAGGCACCTCCAACAACACATAAAACCTCACATAATTCTGCCTAAAAACAATGACAATTTCTCTCAACCAGTGGCATATGGGTTTTTTAAGTGAGCCCTGATGCCGCCCTGTGATAAAAAGTGGCCACTTTGTCAAAGGCAGGGGCGCAAAATATGTATCTTGTCGATTCCCAGCGGGCCTCTCCAGGGTGCTGTTGGAGAGACGTATCGCTGCGGCACTCCACCAACATTCCGTCAAAAAAAGAATCTAACATAAATCATGTAGCAGATATAGCATATGGTAGAAAGAGTATGTGGCCTTTTAGGTTAGGCTATTTGATCGGAGAAACCTGCATGATGTAAAAAGTTTCCGTCTCATTACATTACCATACATTTTATCTCCAGCCTGTAGACTACAGATAAAATGTATGACAATGTAATGAGACGGAAACCTTTTACATCATGCAGGTTTCTCAGATCAAATAGCCTAACCTAAATGGCGCCCCAATCAAATAAAAAATGCGCTGTCATGTTAACAAACAACATATCCTAAAAACAGGACAGGTCAAAGTCAAATGGACAATATGGAATGGACAATCAGGCTACTCACAACTGCTGTCCAGGAGTTTCATCCCATGGGCTAAATTGTCATGATCAGTGGTTTCAAGTTTGTATCTGTCCATTTTTTACGAGCTGATCATAGAGCAAAAGAAAATACTTCTGCATTTCCCGCTGTGTAAACACATTGCAAATAGGCTCAGGATAACTCCTGATAAAGTTGTGTAGCTGATATTCAGAGCTTAAATAGCCACATTGATTAGTCATAGATATCAGGTCTAATAAAGCCAATGCAACGGCCTGTTTTACAAACGGTGGGCCTACCACATGGATGGGCATTCATAAAATTCCATTGTGGGCTGACATGGTAGGCTACACCCCAGTAAGCGCGGACCGACGCCGACGTCTTTTGGATGTCTTTTTTGGCCCTGTCCGGACTTATTTTTTTGATGCAGTCCGGACCGGCCTTGATTTTCACGTCCACGGACGTTGGTTTTTGGTCCGATGCGGAACAAATCTGAGCCAATCATAGACGTCTATGTTTGGTTCAGATTTTGTCCTGTCTGGACCAGACCAGCCTTGATTTGGCCCAAACATTGACGTTTATAAAATACTTATTTTCAACTTTCATTCAGAACCGAAAATGAACCTGATTTCAGTGTCAGGAAAATACGTATTTTCAAGTCCGGAAAATTCGTATTTTCACCTTTCATTCAGAACCTGCTTACTGGGACTATTCTAGTTTTGACAGTAGCATGTGACTCTTAGCCAATGCTAACCATTTCCTGAAGAGAAGACCCTAAGCAGGTGGCTCATGATAAGTATTGGACATTGTCAGCATTCACAGGGCTGGGATACAAAATGTGAAGCCTGTAAATTGAACTGTAGACCAGAACGTGTCTCAGTGCATTACATATAAAAAATTACCTCATTTTTATATTGCATAACTGTATAGTCTTGCAATGAAGCTATGAGGAGGGTGGAGTCATTCCACTACTGTACCGTACCAGTAACATCACGTCTGATCTGATCATAACTGGTCAGTGTGGGCGCCATGACAACTCCATGACAACTGACCCAGTCCCACCCAACCCTTCTCTACCACAGCTGCTAGCCTGGCCAGGACTGGTCTGTCAAACCAGACCCATACTGTATATAGTGACAGACAGTTGATACAGCAATGATGATAGGAGAAACTGCTTCACATTGAATATATTCCCTTCAGCCATTTATACATTCACATCCTGACTGGTACTCCACACATGGTGCCCAGAGCATCTCAAGGGTAAGCATTAAAATAGGATAATTCCCACATATAATGGTTTATTCATTTGGGCTACAGTAGAAGCACCTCGGAATATTCTAGAAAACGTTGGATGATCACAACTAAGGCTTATTAAGTACAGTATGACAATGAGTTATTACTATTTATCACAATACTTGTTACACTGTACTTACAACTGTAATTACACGATAATAAGGACACTAACGTTACTGCTAGCTCACTTTTACCCTGCATACGAACATACACATTTCAGTCAAAGTATCTATAGGCTGCCTGTGTAATCACACTGAACAGTCCTCGGCATTCCACTTACACACTTGGGGTTTGGACACTAAAACAACAACAAAACATGGTTTCCTTACTCAGTTCATATCTCAGTCATCAAGTCTGCCCCATTCACTTATTACAGGCTAAAAAAAAATGTTTTTTAACGATGAATGATATTTGATATAAAACGAAAGGGAAACCCAGCACATATGGAGCATTCTGACAGCATGTCAGTAGTCTCATCTCCTAGAGAGACACTTCTTCTTCCTCCTTCCTCTAGTTTAAGGACTAGGGTGAAGTTGTCCCTAGACGCTGGTCTTGGGTACATATTTAGATTCCCCACTAACAGTTAAGGTTAGGATTTTGGGAGAGGAAGCTGATAGTAGATTTGTACCTAGGGCCAACTTTACCCCAGAGCCTCTGAAGTTACAACAGCACATGTTTGACAGCATGTGTTTAGTCAGGCTATGGTTGACATTTACCCCCTCCGCCAGTCCTGGGGTGAGATTTGGGGAAACTTGGAGTTGGGATCTTTCTCCCCTCCCCCAGTCCTGGGGTGAGATTTGGGGAAACTTGGAGTTGGGATCTTTTCCCCTCCCCCAGTCCTGGGGTGAGATTTGGGGAAACTTGGAGTTGGGATCTTTCTCCCCTCCCCCAGTCCTGGGGTGAGATTTGGGGAAACTTGGAGTTGGGATCTTTCTCCCCTCCCCCAGTCCTGGGGTGAGATTTGGGGAAACTTGGAGTTGGGATCTTTCTTCCCCTCCCCCAGTCCCTGGGGTGAGATTTGGGGAAAACTTGGAGTTGGGATCTTTCTCCCCTCCCCCAGTCCTGGGGTGAGATTTGGGGAAACTTGGAGTTGGGATCTTTCTCCCCTCCCCCAGTCCTGGGGTGAGATTTGGGGAAACTTGGAGTTGGGATCTTTCTCCCCTCCCCCAGTCCTGGGGTGAGATTTGGGAAACTTGGAGTTGGGATCTTTCTCCCCTCCCCCAGTCCTGGGGTGAGATTTGGGGAAACTTGGAGTTGGGATCTTTCTCCCCTCCCCCAGTCCTGGGGTGAGATTTGGGGAAACTTGGAGTTGGGATCTTTCTCCCCTCCCCCAGTCCTGGGGTGAGATTTGGGGAAACTTGGAGTTGGGATCTTTCTCCCCTCCCCCAGTCCTGGGGTGAGATTTGTGGAAACTTGGAGTTGGGATCTTTCTCCCCTCCCCAGTCCTGGGTCAGACTTGGGGACAGTGTTGGGCTATGACAGATACCCTCCTCCTACCCAACACTTTGACAGATTACCTCCTACCTGAAACTTTGACAGATATCCTCATAACCAACACCAGACCCTCTAAGGAAAGACTCTCTCCTCAGACTAACTGAAAGTTGTTTACATCAGAGTGGATCAGGGTTTTCAGGACATTATCATAACACAGTAAGTTAGGCTTCATTTAGATCAGGAAAAAACTGAAGTGAACAAGCTCCTGTCCTGTCCTTTCCTACACACAGCGCCAGGCAGGCAGGGTCTCCATAACAACTGTCTAACAACAGAACATGGCTGTGGTTGCTGTGCCAGCGGTATCTTGGCTCCGGTCCTTCCTGGTCTCTAAATAACATGGCATCTCTGAATGTACAGTACCAGTCAAAAGTTTGGACACACCTACTCATTCAAGGGTTTTTCTTTATTTTTACTATTTTTTACATTGTAGAATAATAGTGAAGACATCAAAACTACGAAAAAACACATATGGAATCATGTAGTAACCAAAAAAGTGTTAAACAAATCAAAATATATTTGAGATTTGAGATTCCTCAAACAGCCACCCTTTGCCTTGATGACTGCACACTCATTTTGACTGATAGTGCAGGTCAAACACATAGCCACTGCACCGATAACCATGGTCTGGGATCCACTCAACTCTAAAATAAACATAGACTACAGTACTGGATCATAGGGAAATATATCATATGTAAAAAGATCAGGGAAGGATCATTGAATGTATCTGCTGTGTAGGTCCTTCAACAGCAGTTCACCTCCAGCTAACATAACATAGTGTACTGCGTGGTACACCAATGCTCTATTGAGGTCATTCATATCTGACAGCTAACCTGCCAATAGGGCATATAAGGTGCAACTATCATATTGAAGTGTTATTAGCTATGCAACATGTCCTATTATCTAACCACACATTGCTAAAAAGTCCAATGCAATTTGTTATGTATGTAACCTTGAAATACACAGCAGATTTCTTCTCAAGATACAGACAAAACATCATGCATTGAAGACAACCCTTCAAGGTGAATACCCTCGGGCTCTGGTTAGCATTTTAAAAGGTGTTGAATAATTGAAGCTACTTAAAAGAGACATTTCACTGCTGCTGATCAAAAGTAAAGTACTGTCACTGTGCAGCATGCTCACGACTGGCTTTGATGACGAAAGCACACACACACACACACACACACACACACACACAGTTTTGTTCACTAGTAATTGAGATAACTATCAAAACCAGTAACCATTGTCAAGATGATCTATTAAAGCTCATTGTCCAGAGGTCTAGAGAACATGTGTTAATACAACCCATTCATTTACAATTCCTTCACATACTGTCCAAATCCAACAGTTCTGGCCAGCCTTACCGGTCACAAAGTTCATTCAAAGCAAACCAGTACAGTCTAGCTGTGTTCAGTTGCTCCGTCAGTATCAACCAGTACAGTCTAACGCTGTTTCTCTCTCTGACATTATCAGAGCTTGTGTCTCATGTAGAAGGTTCTGTTTGGTGTACGAGTCTCTCTCTATCCACACTGACCTGAATCTCTCGTTAGAGGAGAAGGAGGGGATTGGGCTCCCTGCCCTCTCACAACACTAGGGGGGCTATTTTAGGATTTGACCTCACCCTCCTCTCTGGATTAACCCCGCGGCCCCCTCTCTGCCCAGCCATGGGGCAGCTGCCCCCCATGACTGAGTGTTTCCCCCCTCCTCTGCCCAGTGGGTGCAGCTGCCACAGGGGGCAGTGGGTTGGGCATCAGACGAGTCAGTCATTTCTAATTCACAGTGATTCTTGTCCTCGTTTGTTAAATCACTTATTATAAAATGTTGTTGCAACACTTTGAAAGGAGTTAATGCAAAATGGCAGAAGGCGACAGCAAACTGCTCTTTTCCTACAAGACTTGTGCAAGCAATCTTTATGAATGTTTTGTAGTCTTTGTACATGCTATATTTGCAGCAACAAAATATTTCGCAAAATGTTTGTCTTCGGCGCCATCAGTATTCTACGCTGTAACATAACCTTTCCTTTGTGGAGCCTGCACCTGACAGGGTGTGAATGTTGCGCCTGGTGGCTAAGTAAAGGTGTGAGGTGGCTCCTCCCCCCAGGGTGTGATCTGCATGCTCTCCTGCCCTCCCCAGTCTCCACCAGCCTTTACCAGGCCTCCCCAGCCTCCACCAGGCTTTACCAGGCCTCCCTAGCCTCCACCAGCCTTTACCAGGCCTCCCTAGCCTCCACCAGTCTTTACCAGGCCTCCCCAGCCTCCACCAGCCTTTACCAGGCCTCCCCAGACTCCACCAGCCTTTACCAGGCCTCCCCTGCCTCCACCAGCCTTTACCAGGACTCCCCTGCCTCCACCAACCTTTACCAGGCCTCCCCAGCCTCCACCAGCCTTAACCAGGCCTCCCTACCCTCCGCCAGCCTTTACCAGGCCTCCATAGCCTCCACCAGACTTTACCAGGCCTCCCTACCCTCCACCAGCCTTTACCAGGCCTCCCTAGCCTCCACCAGCCTTTAGCAGGCCTCCCTAGCTTCCACCAGCCTTTACCAGGCCTCCCTACCCTCCACCAGCTTTTACCAGGCCTCCCTACCCTCCACCAGCCTTTACCAGGCCTCCCTAGCCTCCACCCGACTTTACCAGGCCTGCCCAGCCTCCACCAGACTTTACCAGGCCTCCCTAGCCTCCACCAGCCTTTACCAGGCCTCCCTACCCTCCACCAGCCTTTACCAGGCCTCCCTAGCCTCCACCAGCCTTTACCAGGCCTCCCTAGCCTCCACCAGTCTTTACCAGGCCTCCCTAGCCTCCACCAGCCTTTACCAGGCCTCCCTAGCCTCCACCAGCCTTTACCAGGCCTCCCTACCCTCCACAAGCCTTTACCAGGCCTGCCTAGCCTCCACCAGACTTTACCAGGCCTCCCTAGCCTAGCACGCACACACAAGCATGGACGCACACACGCACATAGTCACATATGCATGCTCACAAACACACACACACACACACACACACACACACACTTCCTGCACAGAGAGACATGAGATGAGACATGAGATGAGACATGAGATGGCTGAATTCCTGGGATTCTCTGCGGCGCTGGGATTACATCAGTAGAAATACAGTTTTACAAACAGCTGCAAGCCACCTCCCTGATCGCCTGAACACTGATCCATCCTAGAGTATAAATAAAGATGTGGGAGTTTGAATTGCCCCCCACCGAGGCGTCTCTGTGTGTCCGGTGTGTGTGTGTGTGTGTGAGCGCGCATATGTGACTATGTGCGTGTGTATGTATTGAAAAGGGTGTGATCACATTACTAGGCCGAACCCCTGACACATTGTTCATTAGGCAACTCAGTGTCTGTGTATCACAGTTGTGCGTTTCTCTCTCTTTACATTGGACACCTCTAACACCAAAGGTGGAGGTGGAGGTGTGGCCGTTTATATTATATTCAGAACCACATTCCTGTAAAGCTTAGAGAGGATCTCATGTTAAATACTGTTGAAGTAATATGGCTACAGGTTCACCTGCCTCACCTAAAGCCCATTCTGGTGGGAAGCTGCTATAGACCACCAAGTGCTAACAGTCAGTATCTGGATAACATGTGTGAAATGCTTGATAATGTATGTGATGTCAACAGAGAGGTATATTTTCTAGGTGATTTAAATATTGACTGGCTTTCATCAAGCTGCCCACTCAAGAGAAAGCGTAAAACTGTAGCTAGTGCCTGCAACCTGGTTCAGGTTCAGTCAACCTACCAGGGTAGTTACAAACAGTACAGGAATGAAATCATCAACACGTATTGATCACATCTTTACTAATGCTGCAGAAATGTGCTTTAAAGCAGTATCCAAATCCATTGGATGTAGTGATCACAATATAGTAGCCATATCTAGGAAAACCAAAAATCCAAAGGCTGGGCCTAATATAGTGTATAAGAGATCATACAATAAGTTTTGTAGTGATTCCTATGTTGTTGATGTAAAGAATATTTCTTGGTCTGTGGTGTGTAATGAGAAGCAACCAGACGCTGCACTTGACATATTTATGAAATTGCTTATCCAAGTTACTAATAAGCATGCACCCATTAAGAAAATGACTGTAGAAACTGTTAAATCCCCATGGATTGATGAGGAATTGAAAAATGGTATGGTTGAGAGGGATGAGGCAAAAGGAATGCCAAATAAGTCTGGCTGCTCAACCAATTGGCAAACGTACTGCAAATTGAGAAATCATGTGACTAAACTTTATAAATAGAAGAAGCAACTACACTATGAAACAAAGATAAATGACATAAAGAATGATAGTAAAAAGCTTTGGAGCACTTGAAATGAAATGTTGGGCAAAAAGGCAAACTCGGCTCCATCATTCATTGAATCAGATGGCTCATTCATCACAAAACCCACTGATATTGCCAACTACTTTAAAGATTTTTTCATTGGCAAGATTAGCAAACTCAGGTATGACATGCCAGCAAAAAAAAGCTGACAGTACACATCCAAGTTTATCTGACCAAATATGAAAGACAACCATTTTAATTTTGAATTCCGTAAAGTGAGTGTGGAAGAAGTGAAAAAAGTATTGTTGTCTATCAACAATGACAAGCCACCAGGGTCTGACAACTTGGATGGAAAATTACTGAGGATAATAGCGGACGATATTGCCACTCCTATTTGCCATATCTTCAATTTAAGCCTACTAGAACGTGTGTCCTCAGGCCTGGAGGTAAGCAAAAGTAATTCCGCTACCTAAGTATAGTAAAGCCCCCTTTACTGTCTCAAATAGCCAACCAATCAGCCTGTTACCAACCCCGAGTAAACATTTGAAAAAAATGGTGTTTGACCAGATACAATGCTATTTTACAGTAAACAAATTGACAGCAGACTTTGAGCATGGTTATAGGGAAGGACATTAAACAAGCACAGCACTTACACAAATGACTGATGATTGGCTGAGAGAAAATGATCA